CGTGTGTGTGTGTGTGTGTGTGTAAAATAAGCAAAAGACCTGGTCCCTGTGCTCAGCAATGTCATGAACTGGTTGTGTATAGTGTATATCAGAAATAACAGTATAAATGACACATATTTATTTGTGTCAGTAGGAATTTAAAGGAAGAAGAGAATTATGGCAAGAATAATTGGGAAGTTTTTTCAGAGCAAGTGGGAATTGAACTGATCCTAGAGAAATGGAAAATATTTGAGTAAGAAGCAGATTTATGTGGTGGCTCATGTCTGTAATCCCAGCACTTTGGGAGGCCTAGGTGGGCGGATCACTTGAGGTCAGGAGTTCGAGACCAGCCTGGCCAACACATTGAAACCCTGTCTCTACTAAAAATATAAAAAATAGCTGGGCATGGTGGCGGGCACCTGTAATCCCGGCTACTCAGGAGGCTGAGGCAGGAGAATTGCTTGAACCCAGGAGATGGAGGTGGCAGTGAGCCGAGATCACGCCACTGCACTCCAGCCTGGGTAACAGAGCGGGACTCCATCTTTAAAAAAAAAAAAAAGGTCTCTAGAAGTTTCAAAGAAAAGAACTTGCTAGATGCCAAGGTGAGTGACGAGGTTGGGCAGCTAAAGAAGGAAGAAAGTGAACAAAATTGCTCAGTATAGGACTCCATGGAGGTTGTATGCTGGGAGCTCAAGAGGTGTCATTCACATAGTCTCCAGGGTTAGGCAGGCACAACTGTATCTGGTGGCTCTGGCTGAGGAGTATTGAAAAAACAAATAATTGGAAAGATTGAAATGCTGGCCAGAGAAACTTGGATTTTGTTTATAAGAAGTGGGGAACTATAGCAGTTTCTTGAGAAAAAAGAAGATAAATGATAGTGATGTGGCTAAACATACCAGCTTTGGAGCTAGATAAAAATTTGTTTGATTTTTCGCTATACTTCTTACTAGTTAATATGATTTGGGGAAAGTTACTTAAGTTTATTAAGGCTCAGTTTTCTTATTTGCAAAATGAGTATAATAATATTTTCCTTGTAGAATTATGGTAAGGATTATTTGAGACAACGCATGTAGTGCTTGGCACAAAGTAAGTGCTCAGTAAACGGTGTTTGATGATAATAAGTGTTTCCAAAATTTCAAACGGCAGTGGTATACAAGATTGGGGGAAGAGAGTGGTAACTGATTTTGATTTTAAGTGGATGTTTACCTTAGTTGTGAAACCAATTGACATATTGGTATGGAGTGACAAAGGCATAAGCTGTGGTTTTTGGAATAGAAGGCATAAGTTGGAACACAAACCTGAATTTTATCTCATCTGTGACACCATTGATTATAAGATGTGCTGTTATTTGTGTACTATGAAGAAAGAAAAAACATTGATGCATGTTAACACAATGCTATCACTTAGAATTTTTATTTTCTACTCATTGAAAGAGCTCTTTCTTAGACATAGCTTTTAATCATATATCATTTTTGTGTATATATAAAAAGGAAAATATTGAATTACTTCTTGTTTCAGTCATCATTATCTGTATTTTTTCATGTAATATTGTCCTCTGTGGCATCATGAAAACGGGCAATGCTGTATTTCTTTTAAAAGTGCTCTTTCATTGTCTCTGATTCCCGCCCCCCAAGCAGCAACAGGTTTGATCCAAGTGCTTTTTTTTTTTTTTTTTTCTTTCTGATACAGAGTCTCGCCCTGTCACCCAGACTGGAGTGCGGTGGTACAGTCTCAGCTCACTGCAGCCTCTCCCTCCTGGGTTCAAGCAATTCTCCTACCTCAGCCTCCCAAGTAGCTGGGATTACAGGCAACCACCACCACACCCAGCTAATTTTTGTATTTTTAGTATAGACAGGGTTTCACCATGTTGGTCAGGCTGGTCTCGAACTCCTGACCTCAGGTGATCTGCCCGCCTCAGCCTCCCAAAGTGTTGGGATTACAGGCGTGAGCCACCGCGCCTGGCGGTGCTTCTTGATCTTACCAGAAATTATCATTGGGAAGGTTATAGACCATGGTCAAGACTCACATTCTCTTCTCAAATGGTGCTAAATGATTTGTTGAGTAAGAAGGTCAGGGATAGCAAACATGTTCACATGGCTGCAGGCAGTGACAGCTATGCCCTGTTGTTGCCTTGTCCATAGCAATTTTAAGATGTATCCCAATTTCAGAAGACTGATAAATATGAAAGAAAAATGTAACTCAACTCAGAATTGATAGATCAGATAGAATTAAAACACGAGGTCAGTAATTCTGAGAAAGTTACTTAACTTTAGTAAGCAAGTTTAGATAGAAATGCTTTGGTTATACCTGAAGTTGTTTTGTTGCAAATTACTTAGGGATGCTCTACCAGCACTAAAAAACAAACAAGCAAACAAACAAAATCAAGATATTTTAAAAGAATTATATAGCACTGATAAACTGACTCATAAAAATGGCTGAAATTGTTTGAAACTGGCTAATAAAGAAGTAATAACCTAATGATTTTCCATTTTTGAATCAGGTGTTTCTAAAAGCCAGATGAAGTTTGTTTTTATTTTAAAATTATTAGTTATTTATTTTTGAGACAAGGTCTGGCTCTGTCACCCAGGCTGGAGTGGCACGATCTCGGCTCACTGCAACCTCCACCTCCTGGGCTCAAGCCATCCTCCTACCTCAGCCTCCTGAGTAGCTGGGACCACAGACATGCACTACCATGCCCGGCTAATTTTTGTATTTTTAGTGGAGATGGGGTCTCACCATGTTGCCTAGGCTGGTCTCAGATTCCTGGGCTCAAGGAATCTGCCTGCCTCAACCTCCCAGTGTGCTGGGATTACAGGTGTGAGCCACTGCACACAGCCTGTTTTTCTAAAATGATCATTCTTCCTGTTGGCTTATACCTAATATAAGGATTTAACCTTATAAACTTTGAAGTTCTAAGACCTTCAAAGGTAGGTGTATTAGTCCTTTACTAATACATCTACCTAAGAAGGTAGGTGTATTAGTCCGTTTTCACACTGCTATAAAGAACTAAATGTGACTGGGTAATTTATAAATAAAAGAGGTTTAATTGACTTATAGTTCCACATGGCTAGGGAGGCTTCAGGAAACTTAATCATGGCAGAAGGGGAAGCAAGGCACGTCTTACATGGTGGCAGGAGAGAGAGAGACAGAGAGACAGGTGCAGGGAGGGAATGCCAGGGCAACTGCCAAACATTTTTAGACCATCAGCTCTTGTGAGAACTCACTATCATGAGAACAACATGGGAGAAACTGCCCCCATGATCCAGTCACCTCCCACCAGGTCTCTCCCTCAACATGTAGGGATAACAATCAAGGTGAAATTTGGGTGGAGACACAGAGCCAAACCATATCACTAGGCTTGTAAGATTCATTTTTGTGTGTGTGAAAGTAGGCAGCATAAATACTGTCTAGAATACAGAAACATAGCAGAAAATATAAGCCTGTAAAGTTGCTGTGGCAACATCAGCTGCTTATGTTGCAATAAATATAATGGCAATACTTTTTGTTTTTTTTTTTTGAGACGGAGTCTCGCTCTGTCGCCCAGGCTGGGGTGCAGTGGCCAGATCTCAGCTCACTGCAAGCTCCGCCTCCCGGGTTCACGCCATTCTCCTGCCTCAGCCTCCCGAGTAGGTAGCTGGGACTACAGGCGCCCGCCATGTCGCCCAGCTAGTTTTTTTTTTGCACTTTTTTTTTTAGTAGAGACGGGGTTTCACCGTGTTAGCCAGGATGGTCTCGATCTCCTGACCTCGTGATCCGCCCGTCTCGGCCTCCCAAAGTGCTGGGATTACAGGCTTGAGCCACCGCGCCCGGCCGGCAATACTTTTTGAAACTTTATTTTTTATTAGAGACCAGGATACAACTGCATCTCTGGAAAGATAATGAGTCTACCAGTTTGTGCTATTTTTCTCTCATCCCCTTAGTTATTGACCTACTTGGAGGATTCTTCAGCTGCGGAAGTTGCACTATGTAGCCAGTAATAATATTTATTTTTCCAGATGCTTGGGGTAGAGTATGGGAATTTTTCTTTTTTAATCCACATAACGAGATATTTATAAGGAAGTGTGTAGAGTCCAGCCCACTCAGCAGACAACCCAGGATTCAAACATTGTTGGAACTTCTAGACAAACCTCATTTTCTCTTCCATTTTTTTCCCTAAAATAGTGCCATTATATTGATAGAGCCCATTATATTGGTGGTTGGAGGACCCAGCATCTGTCCACCCTTTCTGTTCATGATAGAAAAATGTATGCATGTCCAGTGTATTACTGTTAAGTTGAGACATTTCACTGGCAGTGGTGGTAATGCAGACAACAAACAACAACATCTGGTTCCGACCTGGGCTAGAGCTAAATACATCCTGGGTTGGAGGTTCACTTCTGTCACCAGGCCCTACCAGAAGCAAGGGAGATTTGACCTAGGGGGCTCCCTCTGGCCCGGGCCTTACCAATAGTGGCACTCAGCTACAACATACACCTATCGGTTTTTTTTTTTCCTCTAATTCTTTTCAGTCCAGTCTCTTGTATGCTTGAATCTCCTGTCTGGTAGTCTGACTTTGCAGGAATGTAGCAGCAATTTTGAACGAATTGGTTACTTTGAGTTTTAGAAATGTAAGTCCTTAAAGATCTTGAAAATGATTTTGGTGATGAGCTGCCACAGCTAGTTGTTCATCCAATGGCCTGGGAAATGCAGAACCATGAATACCATGACTGTTAGACCTGGAACAGGCGATGGCACCCTCATTGAGAAAATGTGATTTTAACTGAGAAGCAGTATTTCTGGAAAATTTTTCCACTGGCTCTCTTCTATTGTTGTTACCTGTAATTTCATCATCTTTTCATTTAATTCTGTTCAGTATGATGTCTTTGGGACCAGTGGGTATTTTTATTTGCTTGTAGAAGTGTTTGTTCTTAGGGCTATGCTATGACTCAGGAAGGCCAGCCCCACCCACTCTCTTGTTACTTGGCACCAATCCTCCCTGGTTGTTGGGCATCTTGTTTACTTCTGCCCTTAATTCCCTGCAGGTGCGTAAGTACAAGAGCATGATCCTGGAAGACCTGGAGTCTGCTCTGGCAGAACACGCCCCTGCGCCACAGGAGGTTAATTCAGAACTGCCGCCTCTCACCATCGACGGAATTCCAGTCTCTGTGGACAAAATGACCCAGGTAAGGGGTGGGAGGTGAGGAAGAGACTCAGAGGCAAGTGGCACAGGTGTGGGCGGGTCTCTGATCACTTTTCTGCATTTTGTCCTCAGTGATCTGACCAGGGAGTGAGATGCAGACTGGAGTCTGGTAGTGAAATGGTAGCAGCCTTGGAAAAGACATTGTAGTGCCAGAAGAGTGCTCCCAACCAAGGGCATGGCTGTGGTGTCCTCTTTCTTCTGGCGGTTTTTTTTCCCTTTCACTTGGTCCTTTGGGTTGGATTTAAAAAAAAAAAAAAAACTTTTAGCTTGGGGTTGGTCTGAACAAAAGAACATGAGGAGTTTGATGAATCACAATCAAGGTGGCCAAGTAAACTTTTAGCCCTCGGGCTGCTCTGCTCCTCTTTCAATGTAAATCCTGAATACCTCCATAATTATTACTAAGTACAGCTCCCTTCCACAGGGAATAAGAATGTAAAACTCACAATGACAGTCTTCTGAGTCGTTGATTTGATCTTCCTTTTTAAAATTTTTGTTTAATTTTTTTTAATTTTGTGATTTCTAAAGATGGGGGTCTCACTGTGTTGCCCAGGCTGATCTCAATCTCCTAGGCTCAAGCGATCCTCCTGCCTCAGCCTCCCAAAGTACTGGGATTATAGGCGTGAGCTGCTGTGCCAGCCTGATTTCCTTTAAGAAGGGAAGTCAAAATGTACTTAGCCTGATAAATCAGCATACCTCAGTAATTTTTATGAGATTATCCCTTTTATATATTTTTAGTTTAGCTTGATCAAAATCAAACACCTTTTTAACATATTTTCCCATCCTATTTCTTTTTTTTGAGCCGGAGTCTCGATCCGTAGCCCAGGCTGGAGTGCAGTGATGCGATCTTGGCTTACACTGCACTTGGCTCACTGCAACCTCCGCCTCCCAGGTTCAAGAGGTTCTCATGCCTCCGAGTAGCTGTGATTACAGGTGTGCGCTATCACACCTGGCTAATTTTTTTTTTTTTTTAGTAGAGATGGGATTTTGCCATGTTGGCCAGGATGGTCACAAACTCCTGACCTCATGTGATCCCCCTCCTGGCCTCCCAAAGTGCTGGGATTACAGGCGTGAGCCACCACCACGCCCAGCCTACCCTGTTTCTTTATTAATTTACTTCTCTCTTGCTAAATCCACTTGTCAGGTTTTTTTCCTTATCTTATTCAGTCTTCAGCACCTTTTGACACAGTTGATTACTCCTTAAAGCATCTTCTCTCTGTCTCTTGACCGCACCCTCTTCTGAAGATCCTCATTCATCACTAGGTGCTCCCCTCATCCCTTCTGGGGCCCCTCTTCCTCTTCTCACCTGATCATCGATATGCTGTTTTCACCCAGCTTACGTTCACTGTTAGATGTCTGGTCCTCACATGCCCCAAACAGAACCTTTGGTGGTTCCTACTCTGCACCGCCACATCTGTTCCTCTCCAAGTGTTCCCCATATCAGTTAATGGAACTGCTGTCCATCTGGTTGCTCAAGTCCCAGCATGGAAGTAATCCTGATTTCCCTGTTTTGCCCTCTCCTTCCACAGTCCCCTGCCATCCTCCACATCTAATTCAGCAGCAGGTCATGTCAGTTCACCTCTGAAATGTACTCTGACTCTGGCCATTCTTCTCACTTCCCATCAGCACCCAAGTCCAAGCCTTTAGCATCTCTTGTATAGCCTATCCACTGTGGTCTGCTGCAGTCCATTCTCCACGTAGCCATCCTAGTAGTTTTTTAAAAAGCTTACATCATGCAGGGCGTTGTAGCTCACGCCTGTAATCAAGAGGAGGATCCCTTGAGTCCAGGAGTTCGAGATCAGCCTGGGCAGCAGGCTGGAATTTTTTTTTTTTTTTGGTCTCTACAAAAAATATGAAAATTAGCCAGGGCATGGTGGTGTGTGCCTGTAGTCTCAAATACTTGGAAGGCTGAGGTGGGAGGATCGTTTGGGCCCGGGAGGTTGAGGCTGCAGTGACCCAAGATTGTGCCACTGCATTCTAGCCTGGGTGACAGAGTGAGATCCTGCCTCAAATAAATCAGTGAATGAGTGAATAAATTTATTTATTTATTTAATTCAGGCTGTATCACTTCCTTGTTTAAGCCCTTTAATGGTTTTCCACTATTCCTAGAATCAAATTCAGACTGTGCTGTGGCCTTGAAGGCCGTATGTAATCTGGCCTCTTCCTGCCTCATCTTCTTCCCCTCAGTCACTGGGCTCCAGCCACTCTAACCCTCTTTTCCTCAAACACCCTGCATCCGTTCTTTTGCTTTCGCTATTCCCTTTGCCTGAATATTGTTCTGCCAGATGATTGCATGATGGACTTTATCTTATTCAAAGTCTAGCTCAAATATCACCTCCTGAGACAAGCCTTTCTTGATTATCCCACCTAAATGAAGCTTTCTTCTCCCCACCAAGCCACTAATACATCCTCTGTGTTCTTGTCTGTGTAACACTTGTTACTACCTGAAATAATCTCATTTGTTAACTTGTATACTTATTTGTGGTCTCCCCAGCTAGAATTTGAGGAATTTAGTTTCTGTCGTTTACTTCTGTTCAGTATAGCTGCTCAGCCTCTGAAATAACATGTCATCTAAATAATAGTATCTGTTCAGTAAATGACTTCAGGGTTAGAGCAAAAATGAGTTAAGTGTAATGGTGGGGAACAGGATTGCAAGTCCCCTGGGCAGGTGTTGACCCAGTGCAGACACTGATGCTGCTGCTCGGGGTGGCACTTTTATTTTTTATTCCATCTGAACCAGCAACTTGGTCTGAAGTAATACTACATTTTATAAATATAAACGTAAATAGTGATCTTTTGATTGTTGGATTCATAGCCCTTTCTGTGGACACTGGAAAGATCTCTAAATAATGGTTCAGAAAGGAAAGCATTATCTAAACCAGGCTTGCCCAACCCACATCCCGCAAGACGCATGCGACCCAGGATGGCTTTGAATGTGGCCCAACACAAATTCGTAAACTTTCTTAAAACATTATGAGATTTTTTGGCAATTTTTTTTTTCTTTAGCTCATCAGCTATTATTAATGTTAGTGTATTTTACGTGTGGCCCCAGATAATTCTTCCTTTAATGTGGCCGAGGGAAACTGAAAGATTTGGCACCCCTGATCTAAACTTTTCTTTACTGTCTTTTAACAGTTTCTATTATTCTGTTTCTAGAGGCATTCTGACTGGTTCAAGTAAAGAAAACATAAAGTGAATTATTTTTATCTGGTTGATGTAAAGAATTGACTCTGTCTCAGATGTAAAGTACATCTAAAACTGCCTAAGCCTTTGGTTTCGAATCCTGTGTTAGGTTAACTCCTCTCCTGTGATGGGTATTTGTTATTCTTTGTCACATTTGGTGTGCTAGGGTAAAACAGTCTGAGGTTTTGATTATATTAAATCATCGTGGATACTGGTTTTCATGAAAATTGGCTAGTGGCCACAGAAGTCAGCAAACAGTTTAGTTATTATCATTTTGGAGGTAAGACATTTGAAAGTGTTGTTTTCCATTTTTATCAAAACCACACTCGGTAGAGCTTGGTGTGCTGGTGAATGAGGAGCTGGATCTCAGTTGTCAAACGCATAGATGCGTTGCTGGAGGTGCACATTTTCTCTATCATATGCTCCCTCCTTCCCCTTCTTACCAAAGATGATGACTAAAAAGTCAAACATAACAAATAAAATAAAACAAACAAATGAGGAGGAAGAGGGAGCAGGATGATGAAAAACCCAGCTCCCAACTGAATGGGAATTTCCAAGTATTTGGATCCTGGCATTTTCTCCCCTCAACGTTTTATTGTTGTTTGTTTTCCTCAAATGCTTTTTTCTTAATCTGAGCTAAATAGCTAGCTCTCTCTCTTTCTCTCTCTCTCTCTGTCTCTTTTTTTTTTTTCCTGAGACGGAGTCTCGCTCTATTGCCCAGGCTGAAGTGCAATGGTGTGATCTCAGCTCACTACAACCTCTGCCTCCCGGGTTGAAGCAATTATCCCACCTCAGCCTCCTGAGTAGCTGGGACTACAGGCATGTACCACCATGCCTGCCTAATTTTTTTGTATTTTTAGTAGAGTTGGGGTTTCACTATGTTGGCCAGACTGCTCTCCAACTCCTGACCTCAAGTGATCTGCCCGTCTTGGCCTCCCAAAGTGCTGGGATTACAGGCATAAGCCACTGTGCCTGGCCAATAGCTCTCTTTTATAATTGATCCTAAAGACTTTTACTATTAATGGGAGTAAAAGGAGGGTTTTATTTCCACCCAAACCTAGATAGGCAAGGGTATGGGACTACAAGCAGTCTAATGCACTGTTAGTGGGAATGCAGGTTGGTACACTTTCTCTAGAGGGCAGGTTGGCATTGGCAATGCATATCAAAGTCTAAAAGGTGTATATCATGCCCTCCAATTAAACACAGATGTACATTGTTTATTACAGCATGTCTACAATAGGAAAATTGGGAACAATGTGATTGGTTAAATTACGATAGTGTTTAGAATTTATATAGGAAGACGAGCAGCATAGCCTGAAAGAGATGATACGGTGAACTGTTAGACACTAAAAATGATGATTGGCTCTTTATTGCAGTAGAATAATATTTGTGGTATGTTAAATTTAAAAAAAACTGTAAAGTAGCATTTTTTATATACTGTAATTTGAGGAGTTTTAGGGCTTTACTTTTCTGTTTCTTTTGGGAGATTTAAAAAAAATTCTGGGAACACAGAATTGAGCTGATTTATCTCATTTTCTGTAACATTAACATAAAATGTGCCCACCTCTGTGTGTATAGAACTTTGGAGGGATGCACATATTAACACTGGGCACAGTGGCTCACGTCTGTAATCGCAGCACTTTGGGAGGCTGAGGCGGGTGGATCACCTGAGGTCAGGAGAGCAGCCTGGCCAACATGGTGAAACCCTGTCTCTACTAAAAATACAAAAATCAGCCGGGTGTGTTGGCGCGCCCCTGTAATCCAGCTACTCGGGAGGCTGAGGCAGGAGAATTGCTTGAACCT